TTGCCATCAATCACTCGAGCCTTCCTCTGCTCCAAGTCAAATGTTTAAACCTTTCCAAACTTGGATGACACAACAAATCACAACAGATTCCTGTTAGCCAATGCATAACTCATAATAGTCATCAACACTGCTCAGTATCCACAGTCTCCTCTGCATAAAAGCCATTCTTGTGCTTAATGTAGACGTGTTATGAATCGGCAAATAATGGCATAATGATGCTGTGGCATCATTTCTGCAGCTTACTTTCGAAAAGAAAAAACTTACTAGTAGCATCTGGATGGCAAAAATTCCTCTTTAACCTCTAATTTTTCTATTTTAACCTACAATCTCTCTTTTGATTTACTGTCCCTAAAATGGAGCTCTCACGAGGGATCATTGGTTGGAGGTCACAAGCAGAATGTCACAGATTAATATTCTATGGGTGCTCCACCGTGGCTCTGTTCAGTGATGTGTCTTCAGTCAGTTCTAAGTACATTAAATCGTTTTTGCTAACTTCATGGACAGCATCTAAAAGATGTGTTAGATTAAAGATGAAAAAAAGAGTCCGCTGGCTCATTATTTGGAATGAGTGAAACAGAAGTCTTGAGTCATTCCTCGGAACAAAGGTAAAACACACCTTTTTTGTTCTGACAGTTCAAACTGGTGGATCAACGTATTATACTCTGTGTCGGAGCAGATTCACCTACAGCAGGATGAGTTTGAGATACTCCTGTTGTGCAGTTTATTATAATGATATTGCTAATGCAATTTGGCAACACAATAAACTTGATGAGAGAGAAGACAAATAAATAAATAATCAAATAAATAAATAAATAAATAAACAAACAAATAAACAAACAAATAAATAAATAAATAAATAAATAAATAAATAAATAAATATTGGGTGAGGAGAGAAACATGGATAATAATAACAATAATGGAAACAACACAAACGGGGACAAAATGTTCATAATCACTGTTTCTAAATGTGTTCCCATTCTACAGTTATAACTGATTATTATCTTCTTTTAAATCACATAGTAGATTATTTCCTGAACAGCTTCTGCTTGAAGAAATGTTTATATCCCACAGGACTGATAGGCTAATGGCTAGTCCCCACACACCACCATCAGTTTCATTTGATCTGGTCATTTTAAATGGGATTCTGTGGTTATTTAGGTATAAATGTAACAGCAAAATGCAACACAAAGTGATTGAGTCCATCAGGATTCTCTTAATATTTCTACATAATTAGGTTTATTCGTGTTCTTTAAACATGAAAAGTGATAAAACTTTTCAAATAGGAACTGTTGTATGATGATACTAGGGAGCCTAAGTCACACCCATCTACTTCCGGACCATGGGTCCCCAGAAGAACAAGCTGCATTTTGGAAAAAACTATTTTCTAATTTGGCTTGTTATGTGCCATGGATTTCACATATAATAACCGTAAATTTGCAGGCTCAAAATAAGTTTTGATAAAAGGACAAACAACTAAGTCCTTTAGAGGTACTTCTGAGTTAAAAAATGCTCATGAAATATGTATGTGGAGTAACCAGATAGGTAGGTTTTAACTGTTGTAAATCTGCAACGCCTGCCTCCAGAGGGTTAAAGATGCATTTTGATGCCAGGAACGTGCTTATTTTCGAATGGGAAAAATTTATTTCTGGTTTTGTGTGAAATTAAGTCCAGGACTACAAATGCGCATCACCAAAGTGACGTCATCGAACCAGACAGAGAAAAATGGCTGTAAGTTTAACGAACTTCAAATCCTTCCTTCAGGAGGAAAGAGCCACACTAAATCTGGCCATGTGGTAAGTAGCAGCTATGCTAGGGGAGAGGAGATTCTGTGGTGACGTCACATATGCGACCTGCCGACGTCTGATTTGTATTCAGGCAAATTAATGAACTTTAATATGAACTTTTACAAGTTGATAAATCTCAAAGTTTGGGACAGGCATGGTCGAAACACCCATCATTACTTTTCATTTAAATTGCAGTACAACATATGTGTTATCCAGGTCGTAAGGCAAAGCAGATTAGAAAATAACTCTTTTATCCCCGTTGAGTTGCTTTCATTTTTTCGTTCTTCCTGGGACCCATGAGCTGACCGGAAAGGGAGGAGACTTTGGTTAATACACTCAACAAAAATATAAATGCAACACCTTTGTTTCTGCTCCGATTTTTCATGAGATGGACTTAAAGATCTAAAATGCAGTCCAGATACACAATACAGATACACAGTTCTCAGTGAGAGGAGAAAAGAGGAAAATGAAGCAGTAGGGCTTGAGATGGTTGGGCTAGAAGGAGTTTGTGGTAGCGAATGTTCAGGAGTGGCCAGTTGAGTAAACTTTGTTCTTATAGCTGCCACTTTGTCAGTGAAGAATGAGGCAAAGGTGTCAGCTGATAGATTGTTGGTAGGAGGTGGAGATGGAGGGTTGAGCAGAGTTTTGAATGTCGAAAATAGTTTCTGAGAGTCAGTAGAGCTGAGAATTCTGTCAGTGTAGAAAGCTTTCTTTGCATCAGTGGTGCTGGCAGAGAATGAGGACAGTAATTCATGAAATTTCAGTTGATCACCAGGATCTTTTGTTCTGCGCCATTTCCATTCCGCAACTCTAAGATTGGTGCGTAGAGACCAGAGGGTATCATTTAGCCAAGGGTGCGACTGGGAGGATCTAGCAGGTCTGGTGGCTAAAGGGCACAAGTTGTTAAGACAAGAGCAGAGTGTGGAGCAGAGTGACTCGGTGGCATCATTCACTTCATAAGCAGAGAATGTGCTGGGAGATGGAAGAGTAGAGACAACAAGAGAGGAGAAGTGGTTGGGTGCCAGATTGCTGAGGTTGTGGCAGAATGAGACCATTGGGGAGGAAGCAGTGGACCTTCCTTGTAGAGTCGTGCTGAAATGGATGAAGTAATGATCGGAAAGATGCAGCGGTGTGACAGAGATTGTGTCTATGGCACAGTTTCTGGTGAAAATGAGGTCAAGTGCTTTTCCAGCTTAGTGAGTTGGAGGACTTTGTACTAGTTTTATATTAAATGATGACATTAGTGATAGGAAGCCTGATGAGCTGGGATTATCCAGGTGAATATTCATGTCTCCAAGGACCATTGTGGGACAGTCGTGCTCAGGAATGGAGGAGAGCAGGGTGCCGAGTTCTTCAAGAAAGTCTCCGAGTTGACCTGGTTGGCGATATATGACAACCAAAAAGATTTTTTTCAGTACAGTTACCTGGATGGCATGGTATTCAAAGGAGTTGTATTTAGTGATTGGTAGCAACTGACTGTATATCCATTTGATGGAAATTAACATGCCCGTTCCACCACCTCGCCCAGATGCACGAGAAGTGTGGGAGAAAGTGTGGTGAACTGAGAGAGCAGATGGGGTAGCATTGTCACATGGTTTGATCCAGGTCTCGGTGAGAGCCAGTGTATCGACAGGTGGTTTGCATATGCGGTAATGAAGTTTGCTTTCTTTACAGCCGATTGGCAGTTCCAAAGTCCCACAGACAGGTGGGTGTCTTCGGGGGGAGTTGGTTTTAGCGAGCGGAGGTTTTGAAGGTTGCGAAAGCGGTTTGCTGTGTGTGACCTTCCTCTGAAGCTAGTGATCACAGGTAAAGGATAATGGCACATTTTGCAAGGTGTCGATGGAGCAGCGTCTGGGTCGAGTTTGTTTGCTCCGTGTACCTGCTCTGTGGACACGCGCAGGTAGACACGTACCCCGGAGTGTCTTCACATCGGAGGGGCTGAGACACAAGGGCTGAGGCTTCAGTTATGCCACCAAACTTATGCTGTGCTACTGGTTGGAAACAGGTGTTCATACAGCAGCTGATTGCAATGGTTGAGACCTAGATCACCTGATGAGTGTTTTCAGGGAGGGGGAGAAACAGCTCGTTCACAGCCCCTTATGGCACTTATTGTTTTCAGTTGGCCCAAACTGGAGCTACTAGACAACAGGATTACCCACAGATGAGTTTCCTTCTCTTTTCCCAATGGAAGATAGTGCAAAGCAAAAGTTTAAGAAGACATAAACAAGCACTAACAGACACTCAAGGCCCTTCGGTGCAGATTCAAGTCATTGTTAGGTTGTATTATTGAACTCTCCAAACTGAACATATGTTATACAAATAATTAAGACAGTTAATTACGACCTAAACACCAAACTTCATTTCACAATGGCAGAAAAATCCCTTTAAACTACATTTTACAAAGCAAAGGTAACCCAAAGATCTGGCAGCACCTCATTTACAATGGGACTGAATTTAGCCGGTTGATCTGAATTCACTGAGTCTCTTTTTCTGACAATTAAATGATTTTTGTCTTTGAAAAACAAATGAACTTCAGCTAATCAGTACAGCTGTTTCTGGATGCATCATTATTATTTAGTTTTACACATGATGATTTGTTGTTTATAAAGCAGGCAATCTAAGGCTGATTTATTTCTCAGCTCTTTATTGTTATGCTGAAAAAATTACTTTTCTGTTCTGTTTAGTGCATCACCTCAAATGGTCTCCAGAAACGGCTGCAAAATGTGGCCAAAGGGTTGCAATGTGAAGCCCTGACAAATTTTAGATCAATAAAAACAAAAGGGAATTGGTTTGATGCTGAATTAGCTCAGTGTTCTGGAGCTGGAGTATGCATGTCTGCAACTGGGACGTTTTTGGTCCACTGCATGACATCAGTAGTATTATTATAAATTGCAAATCATCAAATAAAGTGAAGATTTCAAGAAATATTTGATTAATATTATTTCAAATTTTAAATAAATAAAACAAGATCTCTGACGCACCAAACTTTAATTGCCCATATTATTTCCACCTTTTCTACTGGTTTCTTCACCCCTGTGAGCTTAGCCCTGTGCCTGTGATCTACCCAATTAAGCGAATAACACAAGTTTCTGACCTAAATACCTGCTTTAACCCAGAAGACTTCCTTCATTTAGTTAGTTTGACCTTGACATTGAAGTGACTGCCTGATATGCATGGATGTCTGGATCTGATGCGTTTTGTCTCCTTTTCCATCAGCAGCGCATCACAGCCTGCCTGTTTAGTGCAGCCTTCTTCGGAGCCCTCGGGTCATCTTTCCTTTATGGCTACAACCTGTCTGTGGTCAACGCTCCAGCTGGGGTGAGTCAAACTATTGGGCCCCTGTTGGGTGGAAGCACCATCGATTCATCTTGTTTTCTCATTTATTGTTGTGTTAACTCATTTAGAAATCAATAAACCCTCATTTAGATGTGGATTTGGGTTTTAGGGCCAGATTTGACTAAAATGCAGTTGAATAAAGAATAATCTGATGCTAAAATATGACATTCTTCTAATTTTAACCATTTTTTCTGTTGCAGAAACTGATGAATTGTTGTTATATTTAACTCAAGTAAAGTTTAAAAATGTTTTGGACATTTCTGTAAATTATTATTTGCTCCAAAATGAGATGGTGAGGCCAGGAGTGTCACAAAACAAGGCAGAGGCACAATTAGCATATAGCTGAAATCTGTAGTTTTTGGTTACAGGAAACCATCGAGAAACAGAAAACAGGCATTGCACTTTAAAGTAGCTGTCTGTATTTTCCTTTTATCTCATGGCACTATCTAGTGGCTGACAAGCGTATCACGTCATGACCTATTTTCATTTTCGTATTTAAGGCAGAAAGCAACGCCTCTTGTTCATGAACGCGTTCCTCCAGCTAACAAAACTGAGCTAAAACACATTATTTTACTTATGTTGACGTTATGTTGTGTTTTCATATATTTATACTTTAAAGACTTACGTGTACACGAGAAAGGTCGCCAACCTGTATCAGTGGAGGTACATTCCTAAACGCTCGAGCACTACGGGACAAACCTGTGCTTTATGGGACTGGGCGGGCTTCTCAAATAAATAAAATAGATGTATACACCTACATTATATCACAGCAGAAGATAAGACAATCACTTTTATGTATTTGTGAAAAATCATACATAATTCCTGAAGGGGCAGAACTGTGGACAGCAGCTTTAAGCCGCTCTCCCTACTTTCGAGATTATGGCTGGAAGCAACGCCTCTCTCATTTATGAACACCCACTGCTGGCCAATAAAGCTAAAATACATTTTTTTGCTATTTTTATTTTTGCATCATGCAAGAATTGTCTCTGTACTTCTGCAAACACAGTCGCTGTGATTGACATCTGCATGTGAGCAGATGCCTAACGCTATTGGCTAATGCTGAGCAGAGCTCATTTTAAGTTGCATGGAGCTCTACGGGACAGAAGTACATGTTTACCAAAACAAAATGACACAACTTCTACACTGGATCACATCAGAGTAAGATTATCTCTTTATGGATTTCTAAAAATCAATACACAATTTCTTAACAGGGGTTATGCTCTGAATTGCTGCTTTAAGGAGACATCTTAATCCTGACCACGGAACTATTTTGGCACCAATGACAGTAGCACAGTTTCAGCCAAGTAGTTTTAATGTTTTGGGTGATCTGTGTGTTCAGATTCAATTGTATATTTTTAAATTCTGCCCACGCTGTGTGTGTTGAATCAGAAAATTTCAGTTTTTCACACATCAGTCCTGTGAAGTCGTGCCGCTTTTGAACAAAAACAACAGTACTGCAGAGGGTGGGCTTCCCGGTCTGACCTTGTGTTTGTTCAGAGGTAATTAGATTCCTCACAGGTCATTTAATTAGCATTCAAAGATTACAGCCATCAGCTCTGTGGTTGTTCATGAAGGCGTCAACTGTGTGCATTTGAGAAGAAAATCTGGTTTTGTAATAAGAAATAGCATAGTAAATATTTGTGTTACTATTTTTGCCTGTATGGACACAAGTGGTGAATGCAGCATCAGTGGGTGAACTCTCAGGCAGATGCAGTTAGAATAGCCTGAGGAGCGGTTCAACTGAGACTTTGACTGATGAAGACTGTAACTGTGACAGTAACCCTCTGCTCTGGTCGTTATGTGGCTAGCTGTGCCACAGTGGTTTATTGTGCTTCTAACATTAACTACAAGCTACATTTTTGGCTCATGCAAGTGAAATAAACAGCTGTCAAGTACGGTGATAAAGTTATAAACTACTCATCAGTCATACAGTTCCACAGTGGGTTCCAGTCCTTGGTGGGAAAAATGTTTAGTCTTGAATGAATAAAAATGATACGTGTATAACAACAAATGTTTCATGGGTTTGTCGTTAGCTTGCAGAGTTCTGGATTTCCCCAGTAAATTGTAGAACCAAAACTTCCGTCATATTTGGTGTTGTACTACATCTAGACGGTACAAATAACCCTCCAGTATAGCTATACTATAATACTGCTACTTCTACCTGTTGGCCAGGTGAGTCGTTCTTTGTAAATGGAATGACGCAAAACCTCCAAAATGTGGTCATTGGACAAATATATGATGCCAAGTTGGAGAATATGTGCACCATAAGATAAGATAAGATAAGATAAGATGAGATAAGATAAGATAAGATAAGATAAGATAAGACAAGATAAGAGGATAAGATAAGATAAGATAAGATGAGATAAGATAAGATAAGATAAGATAAGATAAGACAAGATAAGAGGATAAGATAAGATGAGATAAGACAAGATAAGATAAGATAAGATAAGACTCATGCAGAGGTTGATGTGTGTTGTTCATAGTTGACGTCAGCTTAGCTAATGTCCTCCTCTCGCCCACCACCACCACAGACTCCTGAGGGCATCCAAGTACAGAGCTAGTGCTCCGCACCAGTTTGTCAGTCCTGCTCCTGTCCCTGTCTGTACATCCGCTCCCCCAACACACCACTGCATGGAAAAGGGCAGATGCTACCGCAGAGTGTTACATCCCCCTCTAGAGTCTAGGAGGTTCTGAGAGGGATGTCCAACATCTAGACTCTTCTGGGATGTTAAACTGACTAGAGTTAGCTAGTGTAATGGGTTTGGAGTGTCACTGGGTTAGCTATACCCCAACAAAAAATGGTTACACAAATGTCCCAACTGGACTTATCTTTATTCTACAAAACTTAAATTACCAACACAGGGGTCACGAACTAAAAGAGGAAGCTATATTACAGAAATGTTCAGCTCTGGTTAACTTATGAGCATCCAAGAATGGTGAAAGGGTCAGTGAAGGAATAAAATTCCTTTGACACAAAACTTACCCAAGCTCAAATCTAAAATAGACAAAAGTTAAAGGCCTGCACTAAAGGTCTTTAACTAAAAGGGCTCTGACCTTAACAAAAAGAGCTGAACTCAAAGTGACTCTTTTCTAAAACGAGTAAACAACTATAAACCACACCAACAAAAGGAAAAAGCTCTCCTAACCAGAGCTAATGGGTAGTATTACTTGACCACAAACAAACAAAAGACGATGCTCTCTTTCTGAAAAGAGGTACAAATAAAAGGGCCTCACAATAGGCTTCCAACTTAAATGTCAAGAGCTAATAAAGCAAAATCTCGAGTTAAGCCTCGAGAAAGCACAGTGACTCCTGGAAAACGGTTCCACGGCCTTCACCGGTCACAGTCCCGCCCAGGCTGGGATAGGGAGCTGCCATGGCGACGGCAGCATTCCACATTTCTTAGACTCTATCAAAACCTGGATGGCTGGGAACTTTCTACAGCTGAATGAAGATAAGACTGAGATCCTCATCTGTGCCCCAGACAAGCTCGTTCCCAAAGTCAGAGACTCTCTTGGTCAGCTTGCTACTCACACCAAATCTTCCGTCAGGAATCTTGGCGTGACCTTTTACCCAGCTCTCACCCTGGATTCTCATGTCAGTTCTCTTGTTCGCTCTTCCTTTTTCCATCTCAGGAACATTGCTAAGCTGAGTCCCATTCTGTCTCACTCTGAACTTGAGACAGTTCTCCACACCTTCATCTCCTCACGCTTAGACTACTGTAACTCTCTTTTCACGTGTCTGAGCAGAACCTCCCTGAACCGTCTGCAGGTGGTTCAGAATGCCTGTGCTCGGCTTCTGACCAAGTCCTCCAAACAAACCCACATCACCCCGCTTCTCCTCCAGCTTTATTGGCTGCCAGTCAACTTCAGGGTTCATTTCAAGATCCTGGTTCTGGTCTATAGGGCCTTACATGGACACGCACCATCTTACATTGGTGATCTTCTTAGTCCCTACACCTCCAGCAGGTCCCTGAGGTCCAGTGATCAAAGCCTACTGGTTGTGCAACGCACCAGGCTAAAGACCAAAGGTGACAGATCATTTGCTGCTGTGGCCCCCAGACTCTGGACCTCTCTTCCCCTGAGCCTGAGATCAGTGGACTTAGTGGTCTCCTTTAAAAAGCGGCTGAAAACTCACTTGTTCAAGCTGGCTTTTGTGTGACCTTCTTCACCACTCTCTCTTTATTCTGCTCTTCCCACCTATTCCGCCTTCCTCAGGATCCACTGATTTCCCTCTTTCCTAGTCACTCTCTCTCTTTCTTAACATTTTTTAAATCACAATTGTCTATTTTTTGCTCATTTTAAATATATTTTTAACCATTTTCTAAATTCTTTTTTATATTTTTACATTTTTGTGAAGCGTCTTGTGATTTTTATCTTGAGAGGCGCTATAGAATTGACATTTTCTTCTTTCTTCTTCTTCTTCTTCTTCTTCTTCTTCTTCTTCTTCTGAGGGGGAGTAATCACTTCATCCTCACAGGCTCAAGGGCACCAGATTCAGATAAGACATGGCCAGCACAGGATATATATCTTAGGCAACTATTGTTTAGTAACAGGCTCAGTAGTCCAGTGGTTAGTTTGCTGGGCTAGGTGCTTAAGCCACTAGACTACCAAGGCCAATACAACAGCAGACATGCCCAAGACGCTATTGTAGATGTGTTTTGTCAACGTGGGTGTGGGCGGAGCTTCACTGAAACGAACCGTTTTATTTCCAGGTATAAATTCAGGCTGACAAAATTAACTCGTATTTAAGATAAATTCCATCTCAATAATGCCAACAGTAATATTTTATTATGCATTGTGCCTACCTTTGCTCTCAAAGCTTTAAAATAGCATGATCTGGCTCCTTTAAGAAAAAGACCTTATTTTGGGCAAAACATTACAAGGAACTGTTATAAGACTTAAAGGTGCAGTATGTGACAATTATGTAAGAAAGACATCTTGTGGTCAAATTTGGTTACCACAGTCAATTTATCTATGCAAAA